GGGTGCAACCCGCGAAGCCCGCGGGTTACACCTCCTTGGCCCGTGAACCGCCCGCACGGGTCACGGGTCGGCCCGCGGTCCCGGTTTTCACGGGCCGGTTTTCACGGGTCATGGCCGGCCCGTCCGTCTTGACACCTCTAGCCTAGATCAAGATTTAAACTTGCCATGACCTTTTGGAAATGCTATGGTAATGTTTAGAAAGACAAGAATACATGTGACAATGTAGATTTCATCTAATTAGAGCGTAGTTCACTATTTCACTATCAAGGTTCAGTCTACCCTTCATTTTCTGTCAACCTATGCTTCGTAATTCACATCCATCAATGATTAGTCAACAATTGAAAATGTTATTTTTTGCAAATTGTGGAAACTTTCAATGCTTAATGAAGATAGAACTCTGAACAAAGAACATGAAAATTAGAACTAACAGTAGGCAAAGACAAGATTTATGAAACATACTGTGACTGACATTAGCAGCATCTCCAATCTGGAATCCAAGATATTGCTCAAGGACCCCAAAATCATTCGCTTGTGAAGATTGCATTGTATTCGTTTCCGCTTGCCTGCATGCCACAATTAAACTACCTAACAGTTAACAAAATAGTAATCTGCATAACTCAAAAATTTTATCAATTCTCGAGTAAGATTGTTATAAGATTTTTTTTTTACAAAAAATTCTTGCAGCGTGATCCTGGACTAAATCACTGAAAAGTTTGGGTTTGTCTGAAATCTAAAATGGTGAAAATAGGAAATATAACTTCTAAGTATAAATACATATATGCGTGATTTAACATTCAAGATTTCACGTAGAAGTCATGATTTTTTCTATTCTTTTTATCAGTCAACCTGATAATTATAATAATTATAAGGGGAAATATTGCAAAACTTGAAAATAAGAAAAAGTTCAATTTCTAACTGTAGAGTGACCAAATATTCAAGGTATGAAAAAAAATTGTAAAGAAAGTTACATGTGATTGGAAACTGGCATCGAAGAGATGATGAAGATTGGATTCCCAGCAGTCACACTTCTATTAACCTTAGCACCAACTTTAATCGTTGTACTACACATAAATCACCATCACCTCCTCGGATTTTCAGAATCAAAAATCTGAAAAAACAACTGAAAGAAAATTAATGTTCGAAACCCTTCTTACCCAGAAACTTTTATAAGACAGATTGAACACGCAAAATACACACATTTTAATAATCAAGAACACCAAACCCCATAAAACCTTTTCACAAAAAAAAAAATCTCCAAAAAGGACAGAAAAAAAGGAAGAAAAAACCAGGAGATAGAAAACTAAAGACGGAACCCAAAACTATTCAAAAAAAAAAAAAAACCTTCAATTTAAATTGATCCAATTCCTCGACGGGTGGAACCTGTAGTTCCGAGCTCTCCCCTGCACGGCTAGGGTTCTACATGGGAGGGTAGCAGCGCAGCGCAGCGCAGAGAGCAATCGGCGCCGATGGATTGTATTTGCCCCCAAATTTAAAAACTGATTAAATACATAGAAAAACCATAAAATTAGCTACATAGGAATTGCTGGAA